CTGAACTGTGCCAGAACTTCAGCCCGAGGCAGATGGGAAACATCGCTTGGCAAAAATCACAGCAACTTAACCCAGCTTATGATAAGCTGCGTTAAGCAACCATAGCACTACAGGTACCACAAGAAATGTCACCTAATTATACATTTTTGTACAGGGCCAAGATCATAAAAGCACTGTCAGGCAAAAAATCTGAGGGACCTGTATTGCGATCACAGTTTTGACTGTACTGTCCTTGCTCACAGCTGCTCATTGGTCAGATCTCCACAGGTACTAATATGCAGTCACTCAAAAAGATTTATATTTAGATCGTCTCCCTTCCAGACTTGCTACATTTTTTCATTTAGGAATCCATTTTAATTACTCAGCACAATGGTAACTGCAGCTTCTATTCTATCTGACCTCTCATTGAGCCACCTAGGAAGTGAACTGACTTCCACAAGAGCTGAAGTTTTGTCCTCCTCTGAGCTCACAATGCATTAATTGACCACCACTGAAAATAAATGAAAACACTCTCACCAGAACAGACATCTCCACAACATCTGACGGCTGAAGGTACTCTGGGTCTACTTTGGGCCAGGACTGGTGCAGCACATCAGCATCCCAGTGATGATGCATACAAAGTTTATTCTGCATGTGTGCCAAACCTGGAAAATGAAACCAATCAAACATTCAGCTGTACTGTAAACAGTCGATCTTTGGAATTTGTTTGATAAGAAAGATCAGAATAAAGTTGACTTTAAACGTTAAGTCCCTCAGGAGGCAAGTCCCTCAGGAGGAAAAAACATTGTTTAGATTAGCATACAGCACATTATAAACAAGAAAGACATACATCTTTGAAGCGCTTGTTTTATACCATGTGTAGGGATGCTAACATGAACGTTGTGGGCACATTTTAGATTTGGACTAGCACTCCAAAACCTTGCCAAAAGCACAGGAGACCACTGTTGGTTATTTTGTAATAAATAAATTGTAATAAATAAATTGTAATACTGCAAAAGAAGCTGACCTCTACTTCTACAAGTCAATCATAATACTGCAGGTTTTTTTCAATAACACCACCAGTTTGATTAAAATTTTACTAACAACTCAATCAAAATGATACACAAGTATGGCTTATTATTTTAGCATCTGTAATACGCTGGGTAGTTTCTAAATTGCAAGTCAAGCTACTTGCAATTTTCTCATATTTTGTGAAGTATCTATTTTCTCACAAAGTAAAGGTGCTACATAAGAATGCCTTGCACAGCTTGCTCTCCTTCTTATGATACGTACATTCTGAAATACTTTATTGTTTGATTTTTTTTTTTTACAAAACCTCCTAAAATGGCTACAAATTATCTCCTTTTATTAAACAGGCTTTGCTCTCCCCAAGACAATTCATTCCTGATTTGTTTAAGTAATAGGAGAATAGGATGCAATTCATTCTGAAGCTTCATTCTCTAACTGAATAAAAGCTTCTGAGTGGGATTTATGTTGCTGTTTACTCCAGCTGTAGGACAAAATAAAAAGATTTCACTTGACAAGAGGCTGTCAAATATGATCAATATTGATGATGATTGCTCTTGTGATTCTCACAAAGCCAGGGGATTTTTAAATTAAAAACATTCTCTGTGTATGAATAAGAATACAGACTAAAGCTTTTTATAAGCCCATGCTTCATCCAGAACTGCAAAATGTATTTGAAATCTCATCTCACTTAGGGAAACTCCAGCAAGAGCATAGAGAGGACCCGTCGACACAAGATTCACTGCTGAGAATGAGGCACGTGAAGCTGTTCAAAACACAGCACAACGGCAGACATAGGAGCAAAACCAACCCATGCATAATACCTACACGAATTTACCTAGCTGGACTGTTTAGACTAATACAGTGAATAACAGCAAACAGAGACATAAAGAGAATGCAACTTCCTCCAGAAAAATGCGCAAGATTTTTGTCAGCACTTTTTCAGACAAAGCACTTTGGTAAAATGACACAGCCTTGCTATTTGCTGAATGATTCAGAAACGGGCAGTGGGGCGGACTGGTGGGAGCCGCTTCTAATGGCAAGCAAGAACATGCACATTTCCTAAGAATAACAACTAAGCCACAATCTTATTAGGTTACTAATTGATTAAAACACTTTAATGGGTCTGGGTTTGTGTATTTTTTTTTTGCTCTTGCGACAGTAGCTCAGAAACCGAAAGAACAAAAGATAGGAACTCCAGCAGAAAAAAAATCGTTGCATTGGTGATTCATTATCACGTTGACTTTAAAGACAACAGCTGCTAGACTCTTCCCTTTTTGGCTTTTGAACATCCAGATGAGCTCATTTCTTTCCAAATGATCACATGCCTTGTGGCAGAAGCATGCATACTGGCCACTCCTTATTTTCCTGTTGAAGTGGATTGATTCTTCAAACTATTTAAAAAACACCTGATAGAAGTCAAGAGCATCTATCTACAAAAGCAAAATGAGGGTCACTTTTAATCCCCACGGAGGCTGTCAGTCCTAATAAACCTACTAATAAAAAAATTAAAATGTATTCCGAAGCAGATACAGTGTGACTAAGCACAATGTCTATCTTTTGGTTCGTTTTCTTGCTACAAAATGAGCTATGAGCTCATCTGTATTAAAAAAAAAGTGCAAAAGTCAACAGAACTAATTTCAGAAAACAGAATTTGACAGGAAACCAAAATGGTTTGAGTTATGTTGCCTGTTTGGCTTCCTGCCTTAATTCACATTTTGCGAGCTGTAGAACACAGAAAACGCAACAATTTGGTTTGCATTCTCTAAATGCAACACACACAAAACCAGAAACTTCATCGCTATGATCCAGAATGGCGATAGTCCACTTGTCAGGACCTAGGCAGAACCCTCCTCTAGCCTTCCCACTTGATTCTGAGATGTTACACAAAAGCGCTGTTTGAGAAGTTAAGACCTGACCATGTCACAGTCTTTCATTGTGAAAAAACCTGTTTTACTGTCTTACTGTATGGAAAGCGCCCAGTGAAGTGCACATTACGAAGCACCGTGCATTTTGCTTTATATTTTTTGACATATTTTGCTTTTATGGCTACATATTCTCTTGCAGACATAGGACAGAAAGCCACCTGAGTACCTTTTTACTTACTGTAAGCCGTTTACTTGTATGTACACATCTGTACAGGACAGATCAAGGACAACACTTGTGCTCAATCTGAAGCCCTGATCCTGCAATTGGATCTGGACTTTTACTGACTAGCAAGCTAATACTAAAACAAGGTTTCCCTAATGAGTAACTCACAGCACTGGAGCCCAAGTTAAAACACCAAGTTAAACACGTATATTACTGTAAATGAGAGACTTGAGAGAAGGAGGGGACAGGACAAGTCTAACAACATTTCAGCTCATGGCAACGTTTTATTAGCATTACATGAGTATTTCATACGCATAATACTTCCCCTAAGGTGCTATTTGGGGGAGAAGAGCAGATTCTCATTTTGAAGACATTTATGAAGGAAGAGGTGGAAACAGTCGTGTATCAGCAAGGTAAGTTAGGACAGCAAGGTAATTCTAGTCTTACAGAAAAAAAAGCATTAGGAAAAATCATCTGTAAAATTCCAGCAATGGTGTAGCTAGTTTGACACAAAATTTTGCAGGCAAGAGAAAAAGATGTGATTATGGAGTAAACTGAGTAATGGGACAAGGGCCAGCACAGAGAAGTTAACAAAGCAGAAAAGGCAAGGAGGATGGAAGTCCTAACAGGTGATAAAAGGAAGCTAATGAAGGCATCTGCAGCAACATCAGTATCAGAGTTTAGAACTACAGATTTTCCAACAGGAGGTATAAGAAGATCAGAGGGGCCAATATAAGGTGACTATGAGGATGCGTTATCCAAATGCTGATGGCTTTTGGATTTAGCAAACTCAAAACAATAGAAATCTGTGTTAAGTAAAAATCAACCACACTAGCAGACAAGCAGATAAAGTTTTTAAAAAGCTCAGAGCAGGCATGTGTAAGGGTAAGTGGCGATGCATTCTGGGTCAGTATCCTACTTGCCTCTGCAGCCTCTTCAAAGGACAAGATTGGTACCATGTTACTTTCTTCCTGATATGCTTTTTTACTACTCAATGAATCTTCCTATTTGACAGATTCAGGCAAGTTGTGTATCCAAAATACCCTTCCACAGCCCAGGAGGAATACGGCTCTCAGTCATATGTGAAATGGTCTGCAATCTCAAAGAAATGATAGCGATACGATAACAGCTGTTTCCAGACAGCTCTGAGAAAAACTGTATTGTACTGCTGGTATAGTAGTACAGAACTGGGTAAAGTCAGGAAAATTTACCTTTACTCAGTACAGTGCTAGGGGATTCATTGTGTATGTTCCCTACTGACAGATGTGGAGCACCAAGGAGGGTTGTGAAAAGCCTAGGTTACTAAAAGTTAAGTCTAGAATGTGTTTCCAATTCAGCAAACTCCATGTGAATCCTTAACCTTCTGAAAATGACCTGCCTTCCTCCATTTGTATGGACTTACTATCCTTCACTTGGGGTTATTACTCTCAGATGAAAAAAATATTTTTTTATTCCAAATCATGTTTCTTCTTGGATTTGTGAAGGGAGATTTTTGCATTCAGATTTTCAATTAAAATCTGCAACATCAATTAGCTTCTACTCAGCTCTATTCTTTACAGAAGCCTTCTTGAGCAAGGACTGAATTCAGAAGAAGAAATTCTTGCAATAGAGCTAATGCAATGACAGTTAAAATGTTGCTAGGATGATTATACTTTACAAATTCCAATAATTATATTTCATTTCAATACATTTTAAGATGTGTTTATCATCAGCGTATATCTTTCATGTGCCATCTCTAATAACAATTACATTTTTACAATTATAACTCACAATAAGCAGTTTCATATCCTTGTCTGGACAGCAAAATACTGTACTACTACAAACAAACTAAAAAAAAATACGTCTCAAATGGTGTCTGTATATTCCTCAGATACAAGGTTTCAGGAAGGAAACAGATTTCCTCATCCTGTTAGTGTTCATAAACTGCCAAGATATCAGCCGGATGAACTCTTCCCACGCTGAGGGGCTACAGTCGCTTTTTATGTTATTAAGCGATAAACCAGTGTATTCACTGCACAATTAAGACCATTAGGTTGACACACCAAAATACTGAAAACTCTTCTGCCTCTAAGCAGGAGAAAGAACTACTTCACACACAAAATATCAAAGCACTGGGTTACTATTATTCAGCTGCTGAGAGGTGAGGCACTTATCAAACAGCATTCAAGCAGCTTTTCCCTTCACTCAAACTGGAAATATTTACTGCCAGTACTGAAGTATGCTCTTTGTCCAGCTCACAAAGGGACCAAACTCTTCATTCCTACCTGATGCATGAAAACAAGATGGTCATGTATAAACTATACCCCATGGGAGAATAATTCTTCATCTGCAGAAGAACAAAAATAGCTGTATCTTGAATCTACCTAATTTTATTGTAATAGTACTTAAAAGTTGAACATTACATCAGAAGCATCCTTGGAATATCAAACTGAAATTCTGAGTTTGCAAAGTTTATCAACAAGCTAACAAAGAAAACATAGTGGGCTAAAAAGCTAAAATTTCAAATGAACTCTGATGCAAGTCCTACAGAGCAGGACAGTGTGATTACAATCAAAATTACTTGTACCACTGATGCTAGTCACTACGTAAAATGTCAAGCAAAGCATCTTTAATTAACACACTAAAATTATATTTGTAATTTTCCTAATATTTTCATTAGTTGGCAATCATTAGGATGGACTGATTTGGAGTTAAATCCAGCTGTAAAGAACTTTTTTGCTAATCAGGAGGATACCTACCTACATATTTATACACTTAGCCAAGTTTTAATTTTCAGAAGCTATTGTATTAGAAAACACAGATTTTCAATTTGTTTTTTTTACATTTCATTGTGATCTGTGTCAAATAGCTTTTAGATTGAAACAGAAAAAAATTAAAATGCAAAAAAGCATTTTTTGCTATTTAAATATAAATGCATTCAGAGTGCAAGTATTTAAGAAAGTTTGTTAGATACTTAAAATGTATCATATGTTTTGCAGTTAAACGTTATTTTTTTGAGCAAAGGAGAATATTTTATGTAATTACTGAATAAAACTAATGGTATCAGATAATTTTGGATGTCAGATTCTTCAAGATTTTAATATTTATAGATGCTAGCCTCTTATGCCTAGCTTTTTATTCCAAAATTAGAAAAGGAAAAAAGGTTGGTTGATTTTTTCCAATTTCCAGCACACCTGTCATTTAAACTGAAAAAATACTGTTTGCACCTGCAGAACAGCTTCCAGTTGTCAAAAGTTATTCTATTACCTCCACAAAGCCTCATTCCATTATTCCAGGTGCTTAGCCAGAAAGTTCTACAGTTCTGTGGCTTAATTGTCTTCAAATCCTTGGCAGAATTAACTTAATATAATACAATACATTAAGTCAGGGTCTTATTGTAAGTTGTCGTTATTTCACATTTAGTTTTAAATTCTATTGTAATTTCTTCTTAAATGTTTCTTGGTCATAATCAGTGATCAGCGAAGCATAAAAGGAGAGATTACAATGCAACAGTCAAAGTATTATTCATCCTGTGAAGCATAATGCAAACAGTCAAAATTAATTAGGATGCTCTTTTCTTCTCCCTCTTTTAAGGCTGTAGTAAAATTACTATTAGGCATATCTGACTGTAGTAAACTTTCTAATGAGAAACACTAATAAGAAAGCAAATCCTTTTTCTTCAAAAAAAGCTTAAATACACAAGGAAGTGTAATGTGGTTCAGAGATAACACAAGAAGTCACTGTTCCTATCCGCCTTCCTACTCAACTGTAAAATGATCTGTTTGATATAAACTACAGGGCTTCCAAATTTCCCAGTTTCATTTTCCCCTGTAGAAAGAAAAATGCCCCTTGTTTTAATCACTAAGTCAAACAAAATGTAAAAGCTGCATGCAAGTTATTTTAGAATGAAATGTCAGTATGTAATTAGAAATACGTTGCTTACGTGTTGTTTATTATTGGCATTACAATAGGAGACATTAGAGGCTTCCATCAAAGTGTGGGAGTGCACTGCTATAGGTGCTATTTATAGAGCTAATAATATACAAAGTCCTTTTCCTGACTAGTTTATGAGGGAGGAAGCAGCACCATCCCTACATTTAGATGCAAAGCTAAGGTACAAAAAGAGAGACTTACTCTTACTGTGTATGGGGAACTAAAGCACAAAGAAAACTAAATAGAGTATTTAGAAAGCTTAATTTTATACTGAAATTATTTAAAATAAGAAAGCATCATCACCTATACATAATAAAGTTTAAAGAAATTGGTTACACCAGAAGAGCAAGAAGACTTGGTGGAACTAGAGGGCAATTCAGAACATGAACTTGGGGAATCTGTCTCTAGACTATAGTTGGACATTTTTCACCAGAAATCCCAATCCCAGGACAGAATTGCTAGATGTTGGCTATTTCAAAATAATATAGTCTTCTTACCACAACGCAGTAGTTAAATGCACATATGTTCTCCTGATAACATTGTTTAATAACTTTCATGTAGTGTAATGATGACCATGCTAAAAGAGATTGTGATTTTCATGTTTAGTCACAAAATTCTTCAGGCAATAATCACCACACAATGTTTTTGTATGCTAGTTGCACTGAATTACAATGCACAGTCTTTGGACCACACAAGCAAAATTTTATCTTTAAATGCAGACAGGAGCGGAGGACAATACACTCCCAATTTTTATTATGCTTCCTTTTCATCCTTACATCAGAGATCCAAAAAATGTTTATCGTTCTCATTCTCAAGTGATTTTAGTAGTAAGAAAAGACTTCCTTCTCTAGAATTCAACACATTACAGGATTAAGCTTTACATTTGACAAATTACATTAATTAAGACATCCTAGTTTTCTTTGTCATTTTATCAAACATATTTGATAATTCTGTATTCTTTAACGTATACTGGAATTTCAAGTTCACAAGGCATTGCATGTGTGAGTAATTAGCCTGGACCTCTTCTGCCTCCATCTCAGCCAATGCAGTAAACAAAGTTGTGGCAATTACTTCCATTTAAGTATCCTTTTTTTTTTTTTAATTAGATGGTACTTCATATTGTAAGAGAATATTGACCAGGAGTAGCTTTCTGCAGATGGATCATGCCTGATGCCACTTTCTATTCTAAACAATAAAGCTTTTATTAAGTCATCTTAAAAACATTGGAAACGAAAACACAGAAAAACACCCACTCTCCCTAATGTATTTTGCTGTTTCCAGAGTCTCTGCCCTATGTTATTGCTTTGAACAAGAGCAGCCTTTCTTTGGCAGTTAACATTATTACAGGGCCATGCACAGGTCTGAAATAGAAGCTATTAAGTAGCTCTGCTCTGTAAACACTTGAATGCAGAAAGTTTTAGGATGACAGCTGAAAATAAACCAGCATCCAAAAGCTAACATTAGGTCCAAAACCACATAGCAATTTGTGGCCAGTCTTAATGCAGAATATATTCCTATCTTCCCACATACATCTTGGGACTTCTCCCAATAAACCTTAAAAGCAACTGCTGAACTCCGTCATGCACATCCTTTATTTCACAGGCTTTAACTGTAGCAGCACCACGCAACTTAACCCACTCGGGATTCAGACCTCAAGGTTTACAGCTGTGACAGGTCTTAAAAAAGACTTCCTGTCTACCATTCCCACTCTCTGTGAGAGGTTAATTTGCAGCATAACATCCCTGAGTCTCTGGAGAATTTTACAAGATTGGCATTTTTATTGAACACTCCTTCAGTCTTTTTAGTATACAGCCCTCTGACATGGTCCTCTCTGCCTGAATTTCTGAAAGAAAATATCTGTAGTCCAAAGACTCTGAAACAGTTGCTTGAAAAAGGGCTGTTTCTAGTCTCACGTTCAGCTTTTAATACTTTACATACAGGAGCAGCTAGCAGCTGACATATGAATTCCTCATGCAAGTCCTGTCTTGAATTTTTCTTCCTTCTCCCTTTCTCTGCCTAGTACCAAGAAACCCACCTTTGTATGCAAAGGGAAAGAAACTAAAAGCAGACAGATCTGGGAACACCGTAAGTTTCAAGTTTGTTTAGGAACTATGACAGAAGATGACACGATTTGAGGGATAAGTGACACGTATTATGTTAACTTTTTGCCTTTTTTCCTGCAACATGAACAAAAAGTGTATTTCTAGAAATACCTTTCCACATCTCTGATGCAATGTGCGGAGCCATAGGTGCAACCATGATGCAGAGTGTAGCCAAAGCATCTTCAAATTCTGTGCTGTGGAGAACAAGAGGCCGAGAAGCTTGCTAAGCGAAAAGACAGAAGGAAAAGAAAATCAGTTGTTAATGTAAATATTCTGGGGTGTGTGTGGGAAAGTAGTTTAATTAAGAAGAAAATGCAGTAATAAAATCTAAAATCAATGTCTATGCTCAGGACAGCGTAATTTCGTAGTAAGTTAGAAATTTATGGAAAGTTCTGGCGAATTAAAATCACAACTCTTGGTCACAGAGTGTTCTCTTAACACTTGGAAGCTAATCCCAAAGAGGCTGGGGCTGATGCAGACCCTTGGGGATCTGCTCTGGTACATGAGTCTGAACACAGACTGTGTGGACAACTGTGGCTCTCAAAACCATTTTGTGTGCTGCCATTTCTAGATATGCAATCTCAGGCAAAATCAGTGCTATCTGAGAAGATGTGAAGTACTTGTATAAAAGAGTCAAACTGTGCTGAATGCTGCATGTTTTTTGTTGGGACAAGGTTCAGTTGTAGGGGATCCCAGAGTGGCTTAAGCTGAATTTAGTGACAAAATGAAGTTTTAGAGCTGAAGGAAGGTTTGGGAATGAAAAGTGCAGCACAGCCTTTTACATGTGATGTTCAGATTGCTTTAGTAAAGTGTGCAGCTTCTCTAGTACAGAAAATTTTCACTTTCTTGCAAAAGGTGCTAGGCTGACAAAATTTGAACCTTCATTCCTCTATTTATTGTATCTTAATAGAAAAGATATAGCACTAAAAGCAGCCAGGTAAACTTTTTCTTTCTTTGCCTGTTCTGACTCAGAAAGATTACATCCCATGGTAAGTTCGGATTCTGCATTTCTTTTGTAATTAGCCTCTCTAACATAACAGCACAGAAGAACGTCAATACATGTCAACTTATGAGAATTATTCAGTGGGTGTGATGAACTCCTGTTCCCATCTGCTAGAAAATTGTCCAAACTCAGTGATTTGTTTGACAGACCATGAATGTTGTCAGATGGCTTCTTCTTATCACTGGTACTAATGAGGTCAGTGCAAACTAGATTTGAGTAAGTTTTAGTAACTACTACCTGTTTTCTATACTTAATCTTCACCCGCCTCCCCACTTCCTCCTTTCAGATGGGACTGAAAGAGGAAGTGTCACTATGCTATATGGAACCTTGTTCTTGGAAGATACTGCACTGACTTCTTTGGTCAAGAAATATGTCAGTGGTCAAACATCTGGCTGTCCAAGGGATTTTTATTTTTTTATTTATTTTTTGACATTCACTCATCACCATCCACCAGCCCAAAATGCATATGAATCACCGAGCTAGCGATAAAGAACTATGTGTCACCTTCCCAACACCACACTGTATCCCAGACTTATGTTATTTCAGTATAGCACTTGTGCATGCCCTACTTCACTTTTCATTAAGTTCCTTGACTTTGCCAATAATGTCCTTGGAATCCATAAAGTATAAAATGGTTTTTCAACAAAGAAGCTGAAAAACCCAAATTTTAATTTGATTTCTGGTCTAGCTCACATTACCGTTATATGTCTGAGAGAATGCTCAACCAGATCTAAGAGTTGTAACAAAAATGAAGGTAACAGTTTATTATATTTGATCTATCACCACTGGCTGACAAACAACAATCTAAATAAAAAATGCTACAGACTTAAGTTATTTTTATGCTTGTTTGAAAAAGGGGAATTTGCAAACTCTGTTACTAGCAGACAGTTCAGTGGTGAAAGCTGTCTCTCAGGAATGTAAGGTTATGTGCAATTTTCCTTGTAAAGAATAACCCTTGAATGCTTGATAATTCTACAATGTACTACTATACCCAGCTACCTATGCAACTTGTTTAAAAACAGAAGAAAGAACAGAGCTAAACAAAATGTATCCTTTGAAATTACAGGATGCAGGAATAAACATCAGAACCTAGTGGCTCTAATACCGTCAAGCTCATCCTGCAAAACAATATATCTCAGGGTTACAGTGAGACTAGAACATGCTACTTTTGAACCAAATAGTTCCACCTAAGTCCACGAGGCTCTCGAGTTAGTAGCAATAGTAATGACTACAAACAACTTTTAGAATGCTGGACCTATAGTTTGGGCAGCTCCTGCTTTGTATAAAAAACTTACAGGAACAGGGTATGACAGAAAAAATACTTTCATTCATATCACATACTTACATGGAGTATGTTAGTGAGGCTCATCAATCGAGAAATAGCCGCATTGAACAAATGATCCTTTGTAAAGTACTCTGTTACCTTGTATTAAAAGAAAAGGTCTGTCACTAATTACTTAAAATTCTCAAACGTGGAGTACCTTACCTCTTACATGAAAATCACTTCGGCATGCAAACACATCATATATGCAACCACACATGTATATGGGAAAATAATAATCACATAAAAATTCAGTTGATTATCTCTCCGTCTGGTTCAGGTTTTTAAAAGCTTCAATCAATGCCAATTAGAACTGTGTATTAATAATCACCCTTTATTTTCTTTAATAAAATATCTTCCTTTTGCCCCTACAAGAGGCCTTCATATTTGTAAATCCAGTTACACTGTTGACAGCTTGTCCGTCCATTGCAAGATTGTACTTCTAACGTCCGTTAAAACACTTGGAAGGTCCCTCGCCACAGGATTTAAATCAGGAAAAGTTTTTATCCATAGAAAAATATTTTAAGTTAATTTTGCAGGTATTTATGTCTACTTCTGATAATTGAATTGACATTAATCACAGCATGAGACAACACATAAGAAGAGATGAACAATCATTTCAATAGTTTTTTTTAGGATATGCTAATATATTTTCTCCAACAACTGTTTTTCATTCTATATGAAACAGCAGGCATGATAACGAGGTGTGAAGCAAACAGATCAAAAGATCTTGTTAGGGGTAATCTGCATAACTTACCTATAGTTTTGCTACTGGAAATGGAGTTACTCCAAACCTACATTGGCAATATTTTAATGCCATAACACTTACTCCTTTAAAAGAGGCACAAAGCAGAGAAAGTTTACCAATGCAGATCTTACTATTTTGCAAGAGTTCTGTCCCATAAGATTTGCAGGTAAATAAAATTACTTATACAGAGAATAATTCACTTAAAAATTATTTTATGAGATACTCATGTGGGGAAAAAAACTTGGCTCTGTAAGTCAAGCATATGGTTTTAGCATGAGCAGCAACTTATTTAGCCATTTACAAAGTATGTAAGTGTTTCTTTTAACCTCAGATATCACCAGATTCTTCTGCTTCCAGATCTTTCTGGCTTCAGCCTTCTCTTTCTTATTTAGAAGCTCAGGATTGGGCATGGTCCCTGAAGTCCTTGCTTCAATAAGTTTGGTTACAAGTGTCCAGAGGCGCGTCTGCCATCTCTGAACACCTGGCATAGCATCAGCTGAGATTAATGAAAGATTGCAGAAACAAATTTCAGTTACAGTGAATGAAACCAAAACTTTAAAGAAAAGTAGAAAGGAAACTGAACACTAGAGTTAAACATTTTAAAAAAAAAACCTGTATTTTAAATGAAAAATGCCAATGCAGTTACAAATGCCTTTACAAATAACGCTGGGTGGCCTTAATGGAGAGAAATCAGTAAGATAAAACAAACGTATTTTTCTGCAATGACTTTAAAACATATATACAGCAAGGATATTTGCTAAATCTGTAAAATAACCCAATGTTACGTCAACGTTAGAATGCTCATCTTGTGTTTTAATGCCTCAACAAAACAGTTCTACATGCTTTCATTTTTCAAACTCATGGAAGAATACAAACATACATATATACACACACACATGCACACACTTTTTGTAAATTGAGAGATTTCTTCTAAAAGTGGATTTTAGAAATTACATATACTTTTGTTGCTACAGAGATGCTACTGTGCTAACGAGTCTAGGCTCTGATCCTTGGTACCATCTTTTGACACAGCTCAGTTTGGGATGGGGAGATTATAAAGCTGTTCACCCTGACCCTGCAGGCATCAGTCCTGCACTATGGATGCTCTAAGAATGTGTTTTTGTGACCTAGGGACCACGCTACAGAGAGACCCAAGCTACTGCTGCTCACAGCTAGGTCCTCCATATGGTGTGGTGCAGAGCCACTAGTGAAGGTATGGCTTGAGGTATGGCACTGATAAGGCTTTAGCTCTCTCTTCCAGATCTGTTGTGTTTCTACTAGACTGCACAGCACTACGTCACATTGCACTGCACAGTATCAACATATCCTAAGATGTCCCAACTGGCAAGAGCTTCCAGTTCTGCTCCAGTAAATGCGCTTGAAAAGACCACCAGGTCTACTACTAAACTGGGAGAAGTAAAAGACATGTGAGTGACTGTAATACAGGTGGATTATCTGTATAATTGCACTAGATAAAAGACTTCCTGCACATCTAGGAACAGTAAAATACAACCTGATTGACTATGTCTGCATGATCCTCATGAACTCTCACAGGTGGGACTGGGAGTATGATGCTCTCCCCAAACTTTCTATCTCCTGTTCATACCAGAAGCATGTAGATCATCTGGACACGGTAAGCTTGGCATTATCCAGATTGTAGTAATGGTGTAATAAGCTGCTGGGTAAGTTTGACCACATCTGGTCCTGCATAGTCTAGAATATTGCTTGCCCACACCAGGGGACAGGGGGAGGGACTTGACATGAGGCCCTGCCTACATGTCCACCACTGAAAAGACAAGGAATCTAGTCTGGAGGGCAATCCTCAAAAGGCCATCAAAACACAGCCAGTGAAGAGAAGGATCATGGCAACTGAGAACCAGTATTTAATACTCTCTGAATAAGACAATTTTCTGTATTGGGTTTGTGTGGCAAGGTTTTGGTAGCAGGGGGGCTACAGGGGTGGCTTCTGTGGGAAGCTGCTAGAAGCTTCCCCTATGTCCGACAGAGCCAATGCCAGCTGGCTCCAAGAATATGTGAAAAGACCGACTCTGCAGACACCAAGGTCAGTGAAGAAGGAGGGGGAGGAGGTGCTCCAGGCGCCGGAGCAGAGATTCCCCTGCAGCCCCTGGTGCAGACCATGGTGAGGCAGGCTGTGCCCCTGCAGCCCATGGAGGTCTGCAGTGGAGCAGATATCCACCTGCAGCCCGGGGAGGACCCCATGCTGGAGCAGGTGGATGTGCCCGAAGGAGGCTGTGACCCCGTGGGAAGCCCATGCTGGAGCAGGCTCCTGGCAGGACCTGTGGGCCCATGGAGAGAGGAGCCCACGCTGGAGCCCGTTTGCTGGCAGGACTTGTGACCCCGCGGGGGACCCACGCTGGAGCAGTCTGCTCCTGAAGGACTGCACCCCGTGGAAGGGACCCACGCTGGAGCAGTTCGTGAAGAACTGCAGCCCATGGGAAGGACTCACGTTGGATAAGTTCATGGAGGACTGTCTCTCATGGGAGGGACCCCATGCTGGAACAGGGGAAGAGTGTGAGGAGGAAGGAGCGGCTGAGATGACGTGTGATGAGCTGACTGCAACCCCCATTCCCTGTCCCCCTGCACTGCTCAGATGGGAAGGAAGTAGAGAAAATCAGGACTGAACTTCACCCTCTGGGGAAGGCAGGGGTGAGGGGAAGGTGTTTTAAAATTTTGTTTTATTTCTCATTACCCTACTCTGATTTTGATTGGCAATAAATTAAATTAATTTCCCCAAGTTGAGTCTGTTTCACCCGAGATGGTAACTGCTGTGTGATCTCCCTGTCCTCATCTCAACCCACAAGCCTTTCATCCTATTTTTCTCCCCCTGTCTAGTTGAGGAGAGGGGAGTGATAGAGCAGCTTGGTGGGCACCTGGCGTCCAGTCAAGATCAAACCCACCACAACTTGCTTGATTTCTTCAATTTAAATATTCATTCTTTTGCTATCATCAAGAAATTCAGGCCAAACCTTAAAGATTTAAGAGATGCTTTTCATCTACTTTCCATTTTTTTCCCCTGGAAATATCTTTAAGCTGCTAACATCTCCTTTTGTTCACGTTTTCCAATACTCTTTTAACATGACATGATTCTGAAATCTTTCTTTGTATTTCTCAAGTGGTAAACAGGTTGGTTTGAATGATTAAATGCATTTTTTCTAGGATTATACCTGCATGTGGTTAGCTTTCTTAAAGAACATTTAACCACCAAGCTCTACTATACTTCGCAACTGAGATTTTGTACCCACAATTCTCATACTAATTTGGTTATTGTATTTTCAAGATGGAAAAACACAGCAAAAAGATTGTGTATCACTGAATTAGCTGCTTCAGAGGGAATTATGTACCTGCGTACTCTTAGAGACTCAGGAATTACAGCTTGATTCCAAGCAGTTGGTTTTTTTTAAGAGACATTACCTCTTCATATGCCTAGCTCTGTACTGTTACAATTAGACTGTGACAGAAAGCCAACTGAGAAAGGTCAAATAGCGCACTCCTCCAGTACATACAACAGTGCAGTAATATGTAAATAAACACATATGAATGTAAAGGGTGACAGACACCAACTGAAATAATGCTTAGTGCAGGCTGAACTAAGTAGCAAGAAGCTAACACAAGAAAGAATGAAAAAATACACCTTTTTAAACCAGGCATGGCGTGTTTTATTAAAGCCTTATGCAATAAGAGGGCTAGATTTAAATGTATGCATAAGACTACATTAAAATGTATGAACTACAGTAGATAAAATAAATTAATATCTGTCAGCATGACAAATTGCATGATGGCAGTAAATAAGTATGTAGGAGGGTAAATCTTATCTTATTCAAGAAGTAAGCTCATAAAAATGTGATGGGTGTACAAATATAAGTTACTAGGAACTCTGATTATCTTCTAATGAGATTCTTCTGAGAAGTATTTCAAGGTCCAGCTTACAAAAGCCATTGCATACATGTGTAAATAAATGGAAATAATAAAAAATTGCAAAGTTTTATCTGTAATCTGATATGATTAAAAAAAAACTTATAATGAAGAAAATAATCTTAAAATAATCATTTTCAGCCAATCTATCATAGCTAATAAAAAAATAAGAGAATGAGGTTCAGGTTTGCACTCTATTATTTCAGAAGAAAATATCACTTGAGAAGTACTTTTCATACATGCTTTTAGCTTGAAAGAGGTAAGCTGCTTGCAATAATCTTGCAAGCTGCCTCTCAGTGACAGCTTTGTGACCCCCTCTCTTTTAAAAGAAACAAACAATAAAACCTGCTCATTATACTTTTTTGATTCAATTGTTCCAAAACTTGGGCATCAGGAACTGTATTAATTTTGTGTTTAAAATATAACACACTAGGAAAAAAAAAAAAAACCAAACAAACCAAACAACAGAAACAATCCAACTTACTTTTAGCATCCCACAAAATATCTTGTTCTGGAGGAGCAGCAAACAGGATATAAAGACGTAGGGTGTCAATGCCATACTCTTTCACTAATTCTTCAGGGTTTATTCCATTGTGCTTAGATTTGCTCATTTTTTCCCAAGCAACTTGGAGCTTCTCACCAGTTTTTAGGTAAACTGGTTCAGTTCCTAAATATTAAGACACACACAAAATATTAAACCAAATTTTGCTTGTTTGTAACAACAATTAATTTTGTACCCTAGTATAAGTAGTATAAGAAGAAACAACTATTTCTAGTAGCCTTTTTTTGTTTGTTTGTTTCCAAACAGTTTAAAGAGGAAAACCCATTGTAAATTTAATAACCCTTTTCCCTCCCAAATTTTTCCTACTTTCATGTTTTAACACAATTAATATCCCAATGCTTCCATTGCATCATGACAAAGTCTCTTTTTACTGTTCGGGAGCTGTATCTGGCACTCATCCTCTGTGCTACCTTGATAGCCCCTGAGACTTAAACATTGCTATAACCATGACATTTAAAACCTCCTCCTAGATAGGTGTACTGATTTGGTACAATTTTGACCTGCATTTAGCTTTTAGAAACACCAGATTTCAATTCATAGGTTTCAATTGCAATAAGTTACACTGACAAGAACCTGCCTTCTGTTGCATGAACTTCGAGATGGAAAGGGGCATTTACACTGATAAAGGTGCAACTGAGCAAAAACACCTGCTACGGAAAAGCCCTAGCTTTTCTGGAAGGAAATAGGATAGCAGACAGTGGTAAATGTAAGGTGTTTTTTGGTTTGTTTTTTCACTGGCTTATGGGGTTTGGGTGCAGGAGAAGAACAGTGAAAACAAGGTTGTGCAAGAGGAGTGCTTAAGGAAGGCAAATTCGACCAAGCCACTCTTGTTGCTACAGCTCCCCACAGAAGGGCTGCTGCTCCAGCTTACGCAGTGAAGGCACTGGACAGAACTTGAGAAACAGCACTTTTTCCTATCCCTGTGTTACACATGCCAAATATCTACTGAATACACTAACATATGTGTTAGCTTTGCCATGGTGTTTTTGTAGGTTGTCTTTTTGCTGGGACTACTAGCTCTGTTCAGCAAGTTGCTGAACACTGTCTTAACAAAATGGACTTCTGGTCCTTTGGACTACACTGGAGCTAAAATAACACCATAGCACTGTTTATGTGCTTGGACGCAAATAAAAGTTGCGGGATTAGTAGGGTCTCTGTGCACTCAGAGTGGATACGAATCCAAAACTCACAGAAGTTGCTCTCCAGTTTAAATATTACAAGGATTCATTTTCTCTTCAAAATTTTCCCAGCACTAAGACTTCTACACAAATTCAGTCCCTGACTTTCTGGATGCATCTGTGCTGCTTTTCCCATGCAGTCTCTCTTACCAGTGAGATCAACCTCCTCCCTCTTCAAACACTGGCCTGTTGTTGTTAGTCTGAATGTCCGATTCTTGATAAGACCTTGAACCAAGAGCTTATGGAAAGGCTCCCTAAGGATGGAAAGAAAAAGAAACTTGTCTGTTGAAAAGAGCTGTCAAAAGCATACTTTATGATAAGCCTCAGGTGTTGAGCCAATCAGGCACAATTATTTAATGAAACAAGAATTTCAAGTTGACTATACATAACTGGCTGTCACCTCAGAAAGAGTACTTTGTGCATTTATTCATGGTGGCTGGCTGGCAAGTATAAATATTTATTTGTATTCTGCACACATTCTTGCATCCTGATTTAGCACTGAGTTATTCTAACGTCACTTTTCAAATTAGCATATGGATAATACACAAAAGTTTCTTGGCCAGCTGTGCAATTTCACTAACTTCAAGTTAAATCCCCATTTGTAAAAGCGTTCAAGTACCTCGCCTCACTGTCTTACAAATATTTAGTTCTAGCTTCTCTCTGAGGAGCACAGCATTTTGAACAAATTAAAATCTCGCTGCGCATTCCTTTCTATAAACGGAGAAGACAGTTTCTCTAACATAAGCACTTGCATTCATTGCCCCTTTGCAGAACTAGCCATGAAGACCTAGCTGTAAGAAAAAAGTACACTAGAAAAATGGCAATGCTGGAAAGTTCACATGTCAGTGGACTGATTTTTTAGCATCTTGAACATTAAAACTTTACTTTTCTATCAAAATTTATATCAGGAAGAGTAAACTCTCATCAAATGTGTGTACGATAGAGCTAAAAAGAGCCTTAAAAGGACCCAAGCTAAGGGCAGTGGTGCACTCAGCAAGAAATAAAGTCTAAGTAAACACTGCTCTGGTTGACAGATACATTATTGCTGCCACCTCCTTTAACGATACTGCATTTCTAATTCATCATGTCAGATGTCTGTCATTGTTTTCACTGAAAAAAAAGACAACAAAATTAATCTCCAGAGGTTTTGGTCCCCACTCAATAGGTCAGGAAAGTAAGGCAGTTGTAACAGCAACCCCAAGAACACTAGGGGCCAGGGAGGAGGTATGGAGCTAGACCCAGAAGGCATACACAGTCTGGGGAGTCTTCTCATGGGATCCTCCAACACAAAGACATTGGTGGCCACCATTTTGGAGGACATGCTAATCAGTGCTGGTTACTACTGACTTGCATCTCCTAATGCTGGCATGTGTGCTCAACATTAAGCAATCTGAATCCTCCCTGCTTCCACCTAATGAAGCCCCATGTATTTACCAAAACAACTTATGTAAAAAGGATGCATCACTTATATTTACATATTTTTTTGAAAAGCTAGAATAAATCCATACATCTAAAGAAGAAAAAGTAAAAATAGGTTTCGACATTTTACTTCACACGTACAAAAAAAAATCATAATCCAACCCACTACTCACTTCTATGAAGTCATTTTAGTATTTTACATAAGGCAATATAAAACATATGGCAATTTATCTCATGATTTGAACCAGTGTAAATTATTTAATAATATAGTTAACATATTATTAAATTATATAATAATTATGCATGCTTTAACTGTATTAAAGCAAGTATCTTCCAAGTACTACTCTTTAAACCCTTTTGATGACTCTGAAGGAAGGAGATATCTGAAAGAAAAGCTTTAAACTGGGAAAGAGAAAGTGACATGCTTCATACTTTCTCTTCAGCATATTCATATCTGAACACGAGTTTCCTTCCTTGCATATTTTGTATGCTTTTAAATATTGTGCAAGTCCTGGCACATAGTCCATCATTCAGTCACAAAGCAGCACTAGTTTTTACCATGCCACCTGGTTTTATCAACAATGTTAAGTAAGAGTAGCAATTCAAGCATCTTTATAAATATTTTTCTAAACAATATTTCATAAGTTGCCTGAAAAATCCTGTTGTTTAGAAAGAAATTAAAGGAACTGAAGGAGATGACAACTGAAGTCAAATTCAGACAGTACAAACAAGAAAAAGTATTTTAAAAATAGGAGGTAATAATTATCTAAAATCTGAAATAATTATCTCAAATTATCCAAGTGAATTAGAAGATGAAAATCAGGAACAAAAATCTTGTAATCCTATCATCAACAAATGGTGTAAAAATGCTTCAGGAGATAACTGTTCAGGATAAGTTTCCTCTACAAACTAAAGACATTACACCAAGGAAAAATAAAAAAGACTTTTTCTCCCTATCATTCAGACTTCAGTCTGGTTAAGATCTCAAACAGTTATTAAAATAGCTACACTTGCTGCTATCTAAAATAAAGCTAACGAGGTAGCCAGAACATCCAAATCAGATAGGGCTCTCCACTGGAAGTGATTTTTCAAGGAACACTTATTTTTAATGACAAAGAGTTAGTTCAGATCATACACCAAGTTATTAAAAGCTGAATGCAGGAACGAGCATTTCCTATTTTTGTTTATGCTGACAGAGGCTACAAAAATGCAATACAAAATACATTACCAAGTATGGGGAACACCCCCCGCCCCGGCCCTGCGTGTTCCTAGTGGGAGACCGCAGGAGAATGGAGACATGCCCAATATGAGAAAGCCAGAGCCTGTCTAATAAACACAGGGCTCAGAAACAAATTAAGCCCTGTACTGAATTTCTCCTGAAGTGCACAGTGATACTGCCAGTGTTGTGGTGGCTCCATCTCACGGTCACATGCAGAGTTACACTTCAATTTACATTAATAAAACCACACACCTAAAACCTTCCCCTTCGAAGAAGAGGAAGGGGACTGCCAAGAAGCCACAGCACATCAGGTGTGATGCAATTCTGATCTAAATACTGCAGCACCCGCTCATGGCCTGGCATCATACCTGAGCCATACCACTGGGAACAACTGCAACTCAGCTGCGTTTGGACAGACGGACACTTCTAGCACAGCAAGCGAAGAGGTGGCTTGAGTTTCTTTGAATGCTCGATCACAGTTCAAGTTGTAAGGATGCTGGAACGGGACATGCCTTCACCTGCCCGTAAGTCTGTCTGCACCCACTCTGGAGCACGGGCGCCGTGGTCTCAGCTCTGTGCAGCTTTTGATCATGTTGTACGTCAGATAGCACCCCACCTGTCAAGTCTGTCTGACACCTCCAAGCAGGATCAGCTGTGCTAGCCATGAAGTGTGTAATCCATTTTTTTCCTTTCAGTAACGTTCATATACAGGTTCATTTCTATGAGACCAATCTCTCCATATAGGAGCACGCGATGGATGGAGGGGCAAGCGTGACTGACAGACCAGGACCTCCTGCTCAGTGCCATGTCCTTGGGCTCCTCGCTCTGCTTTGTGCAAGGTGTCTAGCGAGACTTTCAATCCAATTACAAATGACCTGGCTGGAAGGAATCTGTGAAGCCTTCAACAGTGATAAAGTGGATGCAGAAGAAGGGATAGCTCTAGTAAAGGAGCTCCCTGCATGTATTTGCATCCCACACTTCTAGAAAGGCTGAGAGAGCCTGATGCTGTGCCCAAGCAAGACAAGACCTTGGTCAGTCACTGTCAGCCGAATTCAGGTGCTTGCGAAACCTGCAGTTTTTGTAACAATCTGGCAATCCTGTAGAAGGCCGGAAGTGATTGGGGGATGTGGGAGCTGATCATTTTAGGCAGAAAAAAGATCAAACAATATTGAACATTCAGATTTTACACAGTCAATAGCTGAGTGCTTTTACTTAAAATCAACACTGGTGATAAAGTCCCTAATGAATGTAGAGAAGCTGTAACATCCTTCCTTTCCAGAATAAGGTATTTCTATCACACATCTTCTTTTATTCTGTAATGCAGCTATGTAAAAATAGTGCCTTCTCAACAGATTTACTCTCTACCACAGTCAAATCTGCTGACTTAATAGCAACAATAAACTTTTATTGCTTTATAATCCTTCAGAGAGTGTGCTAGGTTCCATTTACAATTATTCATCAGACAGAACTGATTACTAAAGTCTAGGGAAGAGCCAAATTCTGTGTAACTTGTACTTGCAGTAATACAGTTGAGCAGGTGTAACCAAGTGTGTCAGCACACGCTTGCCATGGTGGATTAAGCTGGAACAGATGAGGAGGTTGCTGACTTCAGCTGCTTACCTGGCCCCTCTCCCAGTGGTGGTCACAGCTGGGAGGGCTGACTGGCTTGTGAATTAATTCGAGAACTGATGCACTTTACAGAACAGACTGCTAAAACAAAATTACATCAATTTGGGCTTAATGTGTTGTCACATGTACCAATACCCAGAGGGTGCTATTTATTCTGCCTTGTCGTTACTGAGGAAATGAGCAGCACTTCCCACCATCTCTAGTTCAATGCATTAAAAAAACAAAACAAAACAACAACCATGCCCCATCTTCATGGGATATTTAAACTATATTGACACCTTTACAATTTTGGATGCCTATAAACATTGCATCTTCTATGAAAGCATGTGTGAAATCTGTAAATAAATGGCCTATAATATTTCTATTGTAATAATCATATGTGAAGAGATTGCTTTGAAAATCTAAACTATGAAAATTTTGAACTTCTGTTTTCAACCTCATTATTATATTAATAGACATTACTACAGAATTAAAGACTATCAGGAAATGTTTCAATAGATTTGAAAGTCAGCGGATAGAAGCCAAACAATGAAAATTTCCATGAAGAGAACCTATCAAAATGAAAAATTACTACAGATTAATAGGAGAATCATAAAAATTTGTCAGGATACTAGATAACACTTTAAATGGTGGCAGCTCTCATTAACTGAGATATAGCAGAATTTTACTAATTTAATCAGTGAACAAGATCTGAGCTACTAGAGAAAGATTGAAAACGCACAAGAGGGCAGTGTTTTTTAACATGTTAATGTTTTCCCTTGGAGCTGTGAGCTTCGATATCATGACTTTAAGCTTCCTAACAATAAGCTTGTTGTTTCTAATGACCCTTTTCAGATCTTTCAGACCAGCCCTTGAGCAGTCCTGACAGAAGACTGAGCAAAAGTGGCTTCTGACCAATGCTAAAACATATTTAAGACACGTGGTAATATTTATGAAGGAGCTGAGATTTCCATATCAAAACAAAATCCTAATTCGACTTCATGGCTT